ATCTCACCAGATGAGGACGGAGGAAAATCGTTGTACTGCAGCCGTTTAGCTTTTATATTATATTCATGTTAACGCCGTGCTACTCTACTTACTGTCCATTTCAGCAGTACTTACTACTTTCAGCAGCACTACTTGCACTTGTCTAATTTTACACTTAACTTTTCACATGTCTTTGGCGTCTTTAGTCCGCGTTTGTTATCTGCACACCGTTCTCGTGTGATGGCCCATTTATATCGGGGATATTTGGTCGTCTGCGATTTTTTCTGCGTCACTTCTTAGAATACGTTTTATTGTCGTTTATTTCGCATTTTACCCGTTTCCTCGTATAAAAAACATTTTAAGGGCACTTAAATCATATTTTATTGTCTTCTCTCCCCCAGGCCAGGCCCGTAAATGTTTCTTTTGTTTCCATTCCATTTTATGTAATGCCTCGATTTTAACTATTTACATGCGTCTCTATTTCCTTTCTTCAGAATCTTTTTCTTCAAGCGTTCTTGCATGCCACTAATTTTGTCATTTCTCTATCTCGTTACATTATAGCATGTTTATTTACTCTATTTTTATCACTTTTTTGCAGAATTTTATTTTGACAATATACAGTATTCTTAAAGTGAACGTATATTATCTTATTATTCTGTTTAAACGAATCCCTTATATTGCCTCCATACTCTTTTCTGGCCTAATTCGATCCTTTCTAGCTAGAAGAGGGGGATTATCCTGACGACATGCCATGGATACCAGAGTATCTGGTTAGGATTTAGAGAAAAGTAAGGCGAGAAGTTCAGGAAGCGTTACCTCTTCAGGGAGAGAAGGGAAAGATCACAATTTAAGGCTATTGCCATCTAACTACTCACTAAGACTCTAGTAGCATCGTCGGTTGTAATGACAAATGCAGGAGTGACTATCAGTAAGTCTGAATTAACATATTTGGCAATCTCACTACTTACCGCGAAGCTGGTAACCTTGTCGACTGTGACACGCGGTGAGTAAGTGTGGGAACTATCTGTAAATCTTATGTAAAAACTTTTTTTATTCTACTACTTACTACGACTCTCGTAACGTCGTCGATCATTAATGCAAATACAGGAATGACTTGTTGATAATGGAGACGCAGTGACCTAATCGAGACATTGGTAATATCACTACTCACTACGAAGCTAGTGAGTAGTAAATCTAGAATAACGATTCAAGCAGTCTCACTACTCACTACGAGGCTAGTAGCACCGTTGACTAGAATTTCAAATACAAGTTTTCCTTGTCGATGACAGACAATCGGTAGATCTTGAACATATTTTATAGTAATTTTCACTTGATAAGATGATGAAAAGGGCTAAATTTTGCCAGATTTATGCGTGATATCCATACAATTTCAATTAAATGCATACAGCCGGCTTTCCTAGCTCGCCTAGACTGAGATTTCTACCTTACCTTAGTCACAATTGCACCCCATTTTGGGCGTCGAAACTACTGATGATGGTGTCAAAAGGTTCTTATTCAAGGTTTCCTGATAACCTCGATGTATATATACTTTTAATTTTCATACTTAATGCTCAGTTGTGTTTTCGCCATACCATCTTCTATCGATAATTCACCTAAAAAAATTTGGAGAAAATTCTTGCCGCCACACCACTTTATCTTAGCCTGTTCTTGTTTGCACAAGAATTGTATTATGGGGAAGTTAGATGATCAATCCTCAGATGAACTTGAGCAATCTTGGCCGACTCAAGTTGTTCTTAACGGCAATTTTGTCCATTTCGCTCCTCCTCTCAACACAATAGCGCACAATTTACCATTTTAATGTCATAATTCTGACCATCATTGCATCCACCGAGCCTTTACTCGCCAGGACAGTCGTCTCCGTGGAGACGAGTCGACTGATCCTCTAAGAACCGGCGTGCTAGAGACGGAAACTGCGGTTTGTTTCCCACAGGCCGAATATGAAAACGATGTACAAAGTCTTTCACTTCGAGAATCACGGGCTCGGCAGTTGTGCTGAACTGTCACTCGCCTCCAAGACTGTCTTTGCATCGTCCACTTTTGCCGAAACTCGGTATCGGCCACTTGCAATAGAGCCCAGCCGTACAGTCGAAACCGAGTATGCGGATGGCCCGTTTAAGTGCCACCATCGACACGCCATGCTTCGTCTCGACTCAATCTTACTACTTTCAGCAGCACTACTTGCACTACTGACCACTTTTTGCAAAAGCCGTTCGATTTGTACTACTCTACTCACCGCCCATTTCAGTAGTGCTGACTCATCTGCTCTCGCTGTCGACGCAACGGCCATTTTGATCGAGTCCTGCAGCTGATGGAACGTGGACTGGAATGGTCGCCTCCAAGAGTGGATGAAGTTCTCTATCAATCTTGCAAACACACGAGATTTCATCGTTTGCGTCGTATGCCTCGGCAGCATCCGCATTTGTGGATGCTATGCAGGAAATATCAAATTCTCTGACAATCATGACTTTAGGTGATGATAAAGGCAGAAATGGTACGGACAAAATTGACTCGAATTAGGTCCTTTCCGGCCCAAGCATTGCTGCTCCTGACTGTTGCAATTAGGACTAGAAGAGACGATCTTACGAATTAACGCATAATGCATGTCCAAGCGGATCGGGAGTGAAATATTTTCATTTCTATGACTACCGAAAAAGCTGGTCTTGTGGTTAAAAGTCATCTTGTGTGTACATACCTGGGCGGCTTGCCCCAGCGACAGTTGCAATTTCGTTGTCTTCTCCTCAAAAGAGGCTCATCTTCCGTCAATCTGAGGATATCCATCAATTCTCTGGCCACTCATCCTATCAAAACAAGAGTGAAAACTGTCGGCTAATGGCCGATTCGAGACGATCTCCTCTCCTCCTCTGTGACCAAAGCGGTTGTTAAAAGCGACTTATTCAATGTTGAGCCGTGAATATGCGCTTGAAAGACTTCCACGGCAGTCTCGTGTTGATGAAAAAGCAGGTTTTGTTGCAAGTGAGATCCGGTTGTGCTGTTCGCTGCTGGCATGTGCAGGCGCGTAGAATGGCAGACCTCGTGGAATCTATGAAGAATTCGCAAACACTCACGAAAGGTGAGAATTGCACATTTGTGTGCAGTTCTAAGGTTGCTCAGCCATTCCCACTGCCGGATAGAAGACAACTGTGACATAATCCTACAAGCGATGCCACTAAGCGAGGCAAACTGTGTTGAAGTAAAAGGGACTGCTTGTTTCGCCACTTTTCCGGGGACATTCAAGGCCAAAATCGCGTCTTCATTTGTAGATTAAATTATTGTAGAATAACCAGAAAAACTGCTTACTACTCATGACAAAGTGAGTAGTATGCTGGTGGAAAAGTAATAAATACATAAAACGGTTCGATATTTACGACGAACAGACTTCAGGCCGTGCATATCATCTCGTGAGCTCCGTTTCTTCGGCTCTTTAAGTCATTCTCTCAAGCAGAAGCACAGAACGACTGCCAGGCTTGTCTGGTCGAGGGCTCATTTTGTCTCCACCCTTCCACGACTTGACACCTTCCAGTTCGCAAGGATCCGACAAGTCTGAGATCACTTCAGGCCGCCAGGCCAAGTTAAGGTTGTACCATTTTGCGCATCGGCGAATGTAGTTCCATGCCTGGTTCGTGTGTGGTTGAGGATCAGACGCTTGAGAGGGTGGGATCGAGTTGCCATCGCGTCGGAGGGTATGTCGACGCTGCACCACCCATTTCACCTCGAGTCAAGATGGCTCTTGATCTGCAGACTGTTGGGCCAGCACCGACACAATCCGGCACCACGTGCTGTACCATCAGAAGCATCATCACCAATTGTAGAATGCTAATGAAGCAAGGTCAAGTCACTATTCGCTCTCGCTTTCTCCACTCGTTTCTCCTGCTTCTACTTCGTCACCGACGCCGCCATCGCGGATTCATCAACACTCTCATAAACATGATAAAGGAATGAGTAATATGAGACGTATTCAGCCAATTTCGTCGCAAAACTCTGCTTTTAACCGAATAAATAAGTACCCTCATGCTTTTTTCACACTCTTGCTCCTCCATGTCATCATCATCGTCATCATCATCATCATCTTTACGAGCAGCATCAACTTTACGACCAGCCAGTCATCATTATGATCAGCGAAGAAAAGTTGGGTTTCAAGGAATCTCTTGCTTCATAATTGCTGAGCTTACTTTCATTTCGAGTAGAGTGTTGCGTGAAGAGATTCGAAGGTTGGTTTTCTTGATTCGTTAGCTTCAATTTTGTTGTGACGATGATACCTTGCTTTGATGATGTTCACCACATGACA